TATTTATTACCCAGGACAGGTCACACAACAATTAAAAATACAACACTAGAACAGTTTAAAGCAAATTACAATAATAAGAATAGAGTGGGCTCTAAAAATATTCACCACAAGATTCATAGGCCAGGGTAAATAGGTACATTTTCAACATACAATGAAAATTGCACATCGAGGGGGCCAGATGCCCCTCTGTGAGGAGAGAGTGGCACCATTTCTCAAACGTTTAATACCATGGGCTGCATTCAGGCAGCATTTTATTTAATCTTTACAGTGTTTCCTTACCTGTTTATTTTTACATGTGATGTGATGTTTCCCATGATGTAAAATCTAGTGGAATCTAGCAAATGTTTAATTCATGTTACTTCCATTAAAAACAAACAAACAGTTTCAACCCTGTTAACTCAAAAATTGCAGACATTTCGCATTGACAAAATTTGGGGTGTATACAAGCCACAGTTCCACAATACCAGAAGGTACTAAGTATGAAAGGAACATCAGAAACTGGAACAAAAGCGCCAGCATTATAACCAGTAAAACTAATGCATTTCTCTCCCCCCCCCCCTGCATGTAGCCATAGTCTTATCAAGACATCGCTTCCCTCTCTCAATGATGTCTAGCTGCTCTGTAGGACTTATACTCCACAGCAGTCGAAGCCAGCAGTTATGGAGGTCTAGCTGAGCTGTAACAATTAAAGATCTATGGGATAGGGCAGGTTCTTCTTCTTATTTGAAATTTCTTAAAATGTCTTAATGTTAATAGACACTGCACTTTCCCCATGTACACTTCTGAAACATATCCTACACATTTGGCATGTGTTGAGTAGGCCAATACTTAGAATAAATTACAGAGGCCAAAAGAAGCCAAATGTTTTAGGGCAAGTTGTATATCTGAATGCAGAATGTGGTACTTCTGAACGTGCATTGTTAAACACTACAATAACTCACCTTGAATCTAGCAAGGTTGAAGTAGTCAACAAGTGTCCTTTTCTGTTTCCAGGAAAACAATTGGCTTCCTCTTTTGCAGTCATGTATGCACACCACATAATTGTTTTCTACAGACCTCACATTTCACAAAATGCTTTTAGTAAAGATTGAGTGGCAACAATAATTTCAACTTCCAAATTAGTGGCTTGTTCGCATTATGCATTGTTGAGGGCAGAGCAAAAGCAAAAGAAACAAAAAAAAACACCCCACAAATATTTGTATTCTTGGTAAAAGAGATCCTCCTTAGCCCCATGCAGATGTTTGCTGACCAGAAACATTTAAGAATATTTTTATGCATCATTCAGGCTCAATCCATACTGATGTTCTGGTTTGCTATAATGTGGGTTGTTGTTCCTGGTAATTACTGCATTAATAAGGAAGGCTCATCTACTTATTTTACCATAGACACAAGCTGGAGGGCACAGTTTAATTTCACTGCAAATAGCAGAGGGGTCAGGGCCAGCCCAAAACACTTTGCTGCCTGAGGCAAAGAGCAAAATAGCACACACCCCTTGATTTCATACACAGAAGGCAGCTACAGACTTTCATACACAGCCTGGCAGTTGCATGTGAAGGGATAGTATCCTCCAGGACACCCGTGGGTGGTAGACTGGCTTAGGAAGTCCAAGGTAGGTCACGTGACTGTCACAACTCCGTCCTTCAACACCATGCCAGGGTTCCCTGGCCCAAATCATCTCCCACATGAAAGGGCTGTAGTGTAGAAGTTCGATTCAGTTTGCATTTAAATGTGAATTTACCCAATTCACACTTTCCAAAACAATACATAAACCAAGACACAGCCATCCTCTGAAATTCATACTCCTCTGAATTTGGCAATGCAGTTCTCCAGCCAAGCAATGTGTACAAAATTGCGTATATTGGGGTAAAGGTAAAGGGACCCCTGACCATTAGGTCCAGTCGCGGACGACTCTGGGGTTGCGGCACTCATCTCGCTTTACTGGCCGAGGGAGCCAGCATACAGCTTCCGGGTCATGTGGCCAGCAGGACTAAGCTGCTTCTGGCGAACCAAAACAGTGCATGGAAACGCCATTTACCTTCCCACCGGAGCGGTACCTATTTATCTACTTGCACTTTGACGTGCTTTCGAACTGCTAGGTTGGCAGGAGCAGGGACCGAGCAACGGGAGCTCACCCCGTCGCAGGGATTCAAACCACTGACCACCTGATCAGCAAGCCCTAGGCTATGTGGTTTAACCCACAGCGCAAAAAGGCATATGTTAAAGAAAATAACATCAACATGCATTGTATCGGGGGAAATTGCTTACAAAAAACTGTGTATTAGGATACATTTTCATGAGAACCTTTTTTTTAAAAAAAGTGGAGACTGATGTGGAAATGTGAAGAAGTGATCGTAAAACTGGGAAAATGAGAGGAACCAAAATTGACAGCTTCTCTCCCCGCCCGCCCCCGCCCCCCCGCAATTGTCTCCAAGTGAGGGAGCAAGAGAAGAAGTAGAGACTGTGTGAATGTTATCATTCTTGGTGATAACAGCCTCTGGCTTCCTTCTGATGAAGTCATCTTGTACTGATCTGCGCTTAGAGATAAGGTATGAAATTCACAGAACTAGAGAAGAATAGAGCTTGGCTGTAATGGCTTAGAGAAAGAGCCATAAAACCACAATCCTTACCGTGAAACCAGTAAAGTCACCATAAGTTGCAACAGCAGAGTGACTGGTTCAAAACATAGTACAAACATTTCTCCCGTAGGCTGGTTTCTGCATTTATTTCATGTCAAACAGCAACTCCACCATCAATCACCTGCAGTTTGTGATGTTGGGTGGAAGCTGAAAGAAGAGTCCTGAGGCAGAAGCTGTACTCACACTTCCTCCATACAATAACATCCCCCAAATAGAATCATAGAATTGCAGTGTTGGACAGGCACCTGAGGGTCATCTAGTCCAACTCCCTGCAGTGCAGGAATCCTGCCCACAGACATCCCTGGGTGGACTCAAACCACCATCCTTCTGGTTAACAGCCAGATGCACTGACCCACTGCAAATACTTCCTTAGCACTCTCATAGCCAGACATTACTCCCAAGCATGCCCAGCAACCTCACCCAATACACAGTTAATCCCCAGCAAACGTCTGGTCTATTAAAAAAATTCCTGGCAGCATTAAGTCCCAGGAGTTACTCTTGTTGAACCCAGGGGCACTCACTTCTGAGTAAACACGCCCAGGATTGCCAGTTTAGCTGCCGCTTCGGTTCTATGGGAATAAGTGTGAACAAGTTCTTTCAATGTGGATCAGATTCGAGCATTATGATTATTATTTACAAATCTGTATATCCTGACCTTCAGATAAAAGAAGTTTATTTATATATTTATGCCCCAAAGGCTGAATACATGAAGTTGTTTTGGTATCTATGGCTTTCTCTTAGGATAACCAATATCAGTTTTCCATTACTGTCAGGAATGAGCTGTTGTAAAGTCAATGAGATAAAAGACCCCACCTCAAAAAGGGAAAGGACAGAGGTGACAAGAACAGCACTCAAAATGAGTTAACTAAGTGCAATCTAAGTGCAAAACTAAAAGCAAGTTCTCGTTAATGCTTACCTCTGAAGATCCAAAGTCAAGGTGGGTTTTCTCCCCCTGTGAAAGTTGATGTCATTGCTTACTATGGAGAAAAGCAAAAAGGAGGAAGAAAAGCTCTCTGAACTCTTATTATGACATCAGCACTTGCCTCAGAATCAGAATTCTTTAAGGAAATGTTTGTGACTAAATCAGTGTTTTCTTTTTCATGCAAGTGGAATGAAGGCTTTCATGGAGATACTGTAGGATCACTGTGGTAGGAATGTCTTACTCTTCTTTCACACCTCGGAATGGAAATGAGAAAGAATGTGTGAGGTTTTCCACTTCTTATGTTGTTTTCTCTTTCACAGTGGGAAAATATATGCCAGATGTTGCCACAGGGGCAACAGTGCACAATAATCCTAGTTTTACTTCAATGAAACGTTAAGATATATAGCCTCACTTGTAACTACGGTACATTTTGTATGGCATGTAGTTCAATCTTTACCATTGTTCACGGGAGGGCAAGCTTTGAAATCTTTTCAGCTGGGAAACTTTAATAAGCAGTGGGTCACTGACTCTGCCAACAACCTTCACAAACGTGACACTTTTTTCCTTTGTCACAGTTTCTGTCCTTTTACCCATTCCTCATTCCCTTCTCTATGGCTTTGAGGAAGCGCCACTCAAACCAAGAGGGGTGGTAGGGTAGCAGGGCTTAGAAGATGGTGTGCTTCTGCTTAACTTTGACTTAGCATAATTATTAGTCACTTCAAAACATTATTTTATACCCACCCAGAAAGCTTATTTCTTTATGTATTTATTTCCTTATGTTTCCATAAGAATCCCACTCTTCTTCCTTCATGCAACCCAACAAGCTATATATGTGGTTCCTGCTGGAAGTACAACTGCAGGGATCATTCATTTAATAACCTAAGGGTTAATTCTGCTTACAGTTAGTCAAGCCAACTGGGGGTGGGTGGGAGGTGTTGCCTAGCAACCGGGCGGTATGCCATGTTCCTTGCTGAGGCAATTCAAATTTTGATTGGTGTATATAACTTTTTATCCTGTGTAGTTGCATATCTCCCTCCTCTAAACCACACTTGTAAAGACTTGTAGACCCCCTCATATCATATACTGTTTCTGCTCAGTTTACCCAGCAAAGTAATATTGGTTTCTTTTCTCTTTGGACTCCGTCTGCGTTATTCAAGTGACTGCTCAAAGTTCACAGGTGGTCATCCATCCAACCTCTGACCAAACCCAGACCTACCTATATCCCTGGGATAGATATGGCCATTATCATATGTAAGTGGTGATCCAGACCTCCATGTGCCCTCCAGTGTCCACATGGGGTCCTCCTCTCTATAGTGGGCACAGCTCTGCAAATGCCCCTTGCACATGTAGAGTTTCTGTTTCGTTGACGTGAGCTGGGTAGACTTTGTGTGCAAGAAGGGCATATTCTGGTGCCATAGAGCAAAGGAAGGGAGCCCGTAGCCCTCCAGATGTTGCTGAGGTACAATTCCCCTCCACCCCAACAATCATGACAAAAGACCAAGGATGATGGGAGTTGTAGTTCAGCAACATCTGGAGAGCCACAGGTTCTCTACACCTGCCCTAACAGAACTCCTGTGCTAGGGCAGCTCTTTGCCTCCTTTCTATGCATCGTCAGGTACGACAAGTAAGACCTGTTTTGCAGTGTGGAGTACTCCTGTTTGTTACTCCAGGCAGCTAACAATGCCCATTTCCTGGATACTCCATTTCATTCCCTTCCAGCAATATTCCACACCCCTCCCCAGAGCTCTATGGTCACTGAACATCCTCAGAAATTGTTGTTTTCCCCTCCCTTAGAGTTTCTCCTACATGTTGTTTTCTACTGCTGAGTTTGGTGCTGGCTTGGCTATATAAGGATCAGCTCTCTGAGAATGACCTTGCTGTTAGTAGATAGATAGATAGATAGATAGATAGATAGATTGGATATGGAAGGGATGGTTCCCTTTAAGTCCTTTTTCTGAAGCCTTCTTATGCCCTGGACCTTTCTAGTAAACACTGGTGACATTAAATATTTGGTCAGTAGTAGGAAACAGATATTCTCATTTGTCTGTTTCAAGAATGTGTGTGGCTGAATCTTTAGTTTCCATGGAAACCATCTCCAATGTCATTTGTGGAACTAAAATGTCAACAGTCCTGGTGAGAATGAAGTTGTTGCGAGGCTGAAGGAGAGACCTCTCAGGGTTTTTTACCTGCTCAAGGCACTGTAGTGCTATTAACAAAGCTTAAACATTGATTATTTACAAACATAGCAAATCAAATTAAAGATGCAGATTAATGACTAATTTACTGCGGTGTAAAACATTGGGATTTAATTACTAACTGATCCTCTCGCACATTTTCTTATCTTTAAGTCTTCTTTTCTTCCCAATCCCTTTGCTAGATCAGCCTAGATTTAAGCAGCTATCCTAAACTGGGAACAAATCCTTTGGGGCTTATTTCTGAGTATACATGTACAGGATTTCATTGCAAGTATCAAGCCATAAGTATCTTGGGCCCTATAAACCTCACCCCTTATACTGACAGAGGGGGGATAAGCTGGGGATTTTGGAATGGGGAGGATTGGGCAGAGCCTTAGGAGCAATTAGGATACAGAACAGTGAAAGTAAGCCCTGCAGCAAGTATTGGTGTCAGAGTGAAGACAGTCCAAATAGTGTTGTATGCCCCACAGTGCTGTCACCAATTGACTGCTGGCTCATCTAGAGGCAGCAAAGTCAGTTTCTCAATCCACAGATATATTAGCACCAAGATAGTTTTTCCTTCCAGTGTTGCCAAACCTGTTTCTTGGCTGTTAGGAAGGCACAGAAAACCCACTTGCGGAACAAGGTGAAAGGGCTGTGGCTCAGTGGTAGAACGCATGTCCAGTATACGTAAAGGTCCCGGGTTCAACCCTTGGTGTCCTCAGGTAGAGCTGGGGGAAACTGCTGCCTGAAAGGCAAGACCACCTCTGCTATACAGTGTAAACAAGTCCAACGCTTGCAGCCCGAGAGGCCTTTTTCTGCGCTCCTTGGCAACGTTTGACACTCCCCAGCCCTTGCGATGCCTTCCCACAGTCAGGTGAGGAGGCACTGGACTTTGGGAAGGAGGTAGGAGGGCCCTGCCAGAGGCTGGTACCTGTTTCCCAAAGCCTGGTGCCTTGCTTATCTGGTTTTGGAAAGGCAGCATGAGGGCTGGAGGGTGTGTCAAATTTTGGCCTCACCCCCCCCCCCCGCGCTTCTGAAGCACTACACAAAAGGCTTTGGCAGGAGTCAATCATCTGACATCATTAGGACATGAGATGGTAGATTAGTGGGTTGCCCTGCCCAGCTGTCAGAGCTGGCCTGTGATGGTGCGGGGAGATTAGGATCTTGCCTGCCAGATCAAAAACATCCCCTGCGCCTTTTATATATGGAGTAAATCCCCCTGAATTCAATGGCACTTACCGTACTTCTGAGCAGTCATCAGATTGCACGGTAAGTCCCCAAATAACAGTCCCTAGATTAAAGAATGATTGAACAACGATTAGTGAATTCATGGATCTGATAACACTAGAACTCACTCATGGACAGGAGTCTGTATGCTTCTGAATACCTGTTGCTGATGACCTTAGGAGACAATGCTCTTGTACTCAGATTTCCTGCAGGCATCTGGTTGGCCACTGTGAGAACAGGATAATAATAATATAATAACCATCTGGCTGGGTTTCCCAGCCACTCTGGGCAGCTTCCAACAAAACACTAAAATACAATAACCTATTAAACATTAAAAGCTTCCCTAAACAAGGCTGCCTTCAGATGTCTTCTAAAAGTTTGGTAGTTATTTTTCTCTTTGACATCTGGTGGGAGGGCATTCCACAGGGCGGGTGCTGGAATAGATGGGCTGCAGACTCTTCTTATGACGGTACCACAGAGAACATTATTAGAAATAAAAAATCTTAATAATTATAATAAATACTGGGGGTCTTTGAAGTACTTTGCAATGCAGCAAGCATCTGACAGTATACTTTGAGAGGAGAAATGGTTTAGTTTCGTGTTTAAAATTATTTTCAGATTTTCAGATATATTCGTTAGAATTTTGCTAGGAGGTGGGGCATCTCAGTGGAAAATGCATCATGAGTCCGAGTGATCTTGAAATCCGAAACACATAAAATGAAACCTGTCACTTCAAGAATGTTGCCTCATTATGGACAAAGAGAGTCTCAAGTTTGCCTACCCAACTGTTTTCATTTGTATGGCTCTCCCAAGCAAATGTGCTCCGGGAGTCGTGATGCACTGTGACAGTGTTAATAATTATCAGCGATACTAAATAGAACACAAGGGCTGCCTTAGCACACCAAGTCAGGAGGAAGCAAGCCTTCAAGCAAACCATAGCACTCCCTTCACATCCATCACTTAGGTGGAGATTCTTCATGATAGCTCATGAGTGCAGGTGACAGGAAATCGTAAGAGTGGAACCCCAAGGTTGCAGTTCTACTGCTCAGCATACAGTACTGCTTCTTTTCTGACTCAGAATTGCACAATTGTAAGAGCTGTGTGAATATACAAGTATTTATAAATAGTCCTTTGGCTATAGCTGTCATACAGATTTAATTTAGAAGCTGCTAGTTGATTTTTTTATTTAAGTATCACAGGCAGCTTGTGTGTGTATTGACCAATAGAGATTTTGTGCAAGGAACTATACCAAAATTGTAACTTAAAATATAAATAACATTTTGAACATAAATAAAACTTAGCTCCAAAGACAAATATATGCATCAAAAGTCACACAAAATTTACTCTCTACAGAGTACAGTAGAAAGATAACAAATGTTGCTGTTATCTTTAATGTAAAAGCAAATAACTATGAGTTACAGAAAATAGCATACTGAGAGGCTGGCATATTACATCATTAGTTATTCACTAAAAAAATCAAACCATTCTGATCTAAAGCTGCTGCTCTTTTTAGTCCCCCTAGCCAATTTTATTTGTCAACTTTCCAAACAAAGTTATATCCCACACATTTTTTATACCAATATCCTTTCGTGGCTCCTTCCAAATTCTTTCAAAAATGGGCAGTCGTTAGTTCTGATGCCATTAAAGGATGACTTAACAACATTTTACTTCTCAAAATCATATTACTGTTTGAGAAGAACACTTAATAAAGCTAAATAACAATCCAACAGTATATATTCATTAGTTAAATTCTCCAACGTTTTGGCGATTCCTATGGCAAGAAGAATGTACAATAATTTAGATTTCTAGCACCCTTCTATGTTTCACATTGGCACAAATCTTTAAACTGCTGGAAGCGCAATCCTAAGATGGTAGCAGTGGTGAGATTCTGTGGCAGAGAAATTGCCATTTCCCTAAGACAGTTCATACTGGCCACAGCAGACGTATAGAGGGAAATATTCTGTGCCCTTCCTGGTTCTGCTTTTAAAAAGTTCCTTTCCCAGTTACACTAGGGAAAATAAGTGTGCCAGCTCCAAGGCTGGTGTTCCCAACTCCCCACTTTCTGTAGTTGGGTGTTCAGGGGAATGAGGGGCCTTTGGATTCTGCAGATATGCAACCCCCATGATCCACACAACAAGCTCCTGGGAGTGCCACATTTCCAAACCTATTGCCTTCTGCTTTTCAATCAGTCTTTGCTCATAGACATGGTTTTAGTCAAAAGTCACACAGTGATGCTCAGGCAACTCATTAGAAATGGAAAAGATGAGTCAGGCGGCTCTTCAGTATACGCCTTATGGCTCCATCCAGGCCATGGGATTGAGAAGGAAGATTCTGGAGGTAAAGGAACAATGGTGGAGTTTTCTGTCACTGCACAGAGGAGACCTCAGCCCATGAAACTTGCTCTCCGTGCATGGAGAGTGAGGTTCGTTGTTATCCTCCCTAGTAATTAGGATTGCTTTCTAGGAGAGTCAAGACTTGATTTATTTCATCCACAACAAACATACTAACACTTAGACTTCATACCTCCTTTACCACCACCAAGGCTTGCACTTTTGCTAACAAAGGCTCCTTTTTTATTTGCACAATTAAGATAACACTGTCACCAGCACAACTCTACATAATGTGGTTAGAACTCTAATCGCTAACCATTGTAATTACAAGCCAGTTATTTCTTTTTAATAGAATGCAATGATGTTGCAAAACAAAGCAGAGGAGGGAACAGTAGCAAGCCCGTAACAGAAGATGAGTGGCGCTCAGCATTAACTGCACAGCATTTTTGTTGTTGTTACTGCTTTTAGCTGTATAAAGCTAATATTTTCCTCTCTTACCTTTTTTCTGTACATTTATGACCCATCTTGTTCTCAAATTAAAACGCAAGCTCCTCTGGATGAAGGGTATCTTATAAAGTGCATGCTATTTTATGGATTCCTTGTAGTCTTAAATCTATTACTCCTGTTTATTATTTTGACAGCTGGATTTTTGTACCAGGATGTAAACCACCATTGATGTTTCAGTTATTACAGTTGGCCTACAGAGGGCTCCAGAGCAGCAGTTGCTGAGGTAAATCACTGCACATAACTGAGTTAAAAAAGAGAGAAAAGCAGAAACATAGAAATAATGATAGAGGAATAG